TGGGGATGGGGATGGGGATGGGGTGGGGGCAGGCATTTGGGGACCACACAGGACCGGAGCCCTTGGTGGTGGTGTGCTTATTCAGATTGACTCAGAGCTTATCTTTAAGTCCAGGCCACAGCCAGGGTTCTGAGGAATTGAACAATCATATCACCACCACTAGATGCAGAATGTATTGCAGAATGATACAGTACAGGAAATGGTCTTGGTTGGAGCCCTAGCGTGGCTACTGACTAATGACTGGAGTTCCTTGTGCCTCAGTTTCCACCTCAGTCACGTGGAGATGGCAGTTCTTTTCCTTTGGCCCGGAAAATTCACTGCCATCAAGTCACGGCTGGCCCATAGCAGCCTTATGGGTCAAGGTGGAGCTGCCCCTGTGGGTTTCTGAGACCAGCACTCTCGGGGGAGTAGAAAGCCTCCTCTTGCTCCTGAGGAGCCGCTGGTGCTTTCAAACTGCCGACCTTGCGGATTGCAGCCCTCCTTGTACCCACCACACCGCCAGCGTCCTTGTGTGCCCAGAGGGTGAGATAGTGTGTGAGTGGACACTGAAACTGCCACAGGCCTGTGAGTGTGTCAGTTAAGGCCTTTGGAGTGGCTGTTCATTATGCACCAGGTGACTAAGATCAGTCTCTTGTAGCTGAATAAAAGTGGAAGGAAGTCCCCAATTCTCTTACAGAGACTCCTTTATTGAGTCTTAAACAGACAACCCATCTGGATGGGGATCATCAGCACCAGGCCACAATGGTGCCAAAGGGTGCACAGCCATGTGGCTGTAGCCGTGTGGCTAATCAAAGAACGAGGAAATCGCCACAGAGCCGTGATGGGTGGCAGGCCCACTCGTCTCTCACAGGTGGGAAGGGACCCTGACTGGGTATGTCCTCTATTGCACATCAGAACAGGTCAAGGACTATCTCGGCCGGGAGAAGACTCATGACCACATGGCCCTAGGACCCTGGCAAGTAAGTCCCTGAGGGTGATACTTCCCCCTTAGGCTGCCAACACCCCAACCCACTGCCATCCAGTTGACTCCAACCCAAACGGATACCTTATATAGACATTCTGAGGCTGTAAATATGTAGTGCAGCCTAGCTCAAGAGTGGCTGGTGGGTTTGAACTGCTCACCTTGTGGTTAGTAGCCCAAGGAGTAACTACCATACCACCAGAGCTTTTACTGGAAACCATGACCTTTTGGAAAGCACAGTGGTTCTCAACCGGTGGGTTGTGACCCCTTTGGGGGTCAAACGACCCTTTTACAGGGGTCGCCCGAGTCATAACAGTAGCAAAAATACAGTTACAAAGTAGCAACAAAAATAATTTTATGGTTGGGGGGTCACCACAACATGAGGAACTGCATGAAAGGGTCTCGCGGCATTCGGAAGATTGAGAACCACTGCTCTAATACAAAACAAGTATATATATATATACTGTATATGTGCGGGGGCTTCAAAAAGTTCATGGACAGTGGAATGAAAAGCTAATGGAATTTGTATGAATAAGTGTGTGTGTATATATGTACATACATATACTTAAATATATTTCTCTTTTGAAAAGCTTCTTCAGCTCAGATTTGAAATTTACTCCTATTATCCTTCACATATTTTCCTGGGTCTAGCATTGAGGAGAAATGAGGCAGATGAAATACTGTGATTTCAGACTTGTCTGCCCTTACAACACTTCCCTTCTGATGTTGAGCCCAGGAGTACCTCCGGCCGAGACATAGCTCAGTGACTATAGACTGTTGATTCCCTTCCTACTTGTGCTCCTGTGTCTGACTCTGAATTCCTTACTGAGGATGTGAAAAGTGAGAGTTTGGGGACTTCTGAGCAGCTGACAACAGCCACTGAATAGCCCGGGGCCTCTCCAAACTGCATGTTTAAAACAAACACAACTTTTCAAAACAAAAGTACCTAATGAGTTATTCTTCAGTTGTAAAAACAAAATAATACTAGCATTAATAAAACTTTTTAAACTGTCATGATGCAGACATTTCGTAAATGTTGTTTATAATATTTTTATCACGGCAATTACTTAAGGAATTTTCCCCTGCAGTCTGGGATTTTGTTAAATGCGCCATAAACTCTGGACGTGATTCTGTACCTCAGATCGCTCTCTTTAATGTTTACATTAACGATTATGGATGGGAGTCATCCTGTTGACTGTGGCATGATTTGGAACCAGCGTCTGATGCTTTAGGCTAAATCATTAATAGGTTTGGATACATTTCTGCTCTGTTGTGGGCTGACCTAGAATTAGGACTGCCTGGGAGGGACCAAAAATCCGCACTTTCACTCCTCTCAGCGTTTTGAAGTCTAACAGTGTGTTCTGAGTCTGCATTCCATACATGAAAACAGACCAAGTTCAAATAGTAAAGGTGAGAAATATTCTTACTAAGCTTGGAAGATAATGAAGGTAAGGAAGGCGATTTTCAGATCATCATTTTAAATTTAGAATGTCAGTGAAGATTGGGGGGTCACAGTTAGGGGGAACCTTGAGATGCTTGAAGCTTTTTTTTTTTTTTTTTGAGTATATAATATCTCTCACTCTCCTTAAGAATCAGACTAATGGATGGGGCTGTTAGCATGCTTATCTTGAAAACCATAGTTTCCTAAATGGGTTTCCTTCTCTGCTAAGTAGTGAATTGAGATGAATATCTGGCGCAGTTCACAGTAAGCTAGGAGGGAAAACAAACTATGTGTTTATGATAGAGGAAGACATTACATGAACATAGGGTAGCTCTCTACCATTGTTTTTCTTCTTCATGAAACTCAGCCTGGATACCCAAGAGACAAATACGGTCATTCTTAGTTCAATATAAACCATGCCCTCCTGTATACTTGTCTACTTCCATTTAGAATGTAGCTTTGGGGCTTTTATCCCAAAAGGAAACTTTACTTACATATGGAATTAAAGTAGTGGTTACGCACTCATCAGGCTGCGAGCCGCATGGTTGGCAGTTTGAAACCACCAGCAGCTCCTCGGGAGAAAGACTGGGCTTTCGACTCCCGCACACAGTCAGTCTCTGAGGCTCCCGGCGGGGTCGCTATGAGTCAGCATTGACTTGGCAGTGAGTGTGGTTTGGTCTGGGACCAATACCTTTGAATATTTTGGAAACTATTGAAATGTTATAGGACATTTAAAATAAATCCTTCACACGACCACTTAGAGATACACTTGTTAGCATCTCTGGTATAGTCTGCATAAGTAATTTGATCATTTCTTTTTATTTTGTGTAATCAGTGAATATCTTCCATGTGGGGTTTTGTTTGTTTGCTTTGAAAGTGATTGCTAGTGACATCCTGTTTTGTCATGGGGAAGCACCATGACTTGTTAAGTCACTGTCCTGTGAGCCAGGAGTCTCTGGGTAGTACAGAGGGGAAGCACTGGACTGCTAACTGGTGGGTGATTAAAACCCATCCGGAGGTATCTTGGAAGACAAGAAATCTGCTTCCTAGAGCTCACGGCTTGAAACCTGCGGGCACACTCATAACATCACTGTGAGTCAGGAGCCACTAACAACAGCAAGGACCCTGCCAGCCATTTGCATGGCTTCTAGTGTTCAAGAAATAGTCGGTGCTTTTTGAAACATTAGGTGTCCTTGTGTAAAACCTTTGGTTCCTAGAAGCGTAGTTACCGGCTCATAAATCTTAAATTCAGTACTCATTGCTGAAATGCTTTCTGGAAAAGATGTTTTAGTTCAAGCCTTAACAGCCACATCTTTACTAGCGTGTGTGTATGTGTGTGTGTGTGTGTGAGAGAGAGAGAGAGAGAGAGGGAGAGAGAGAGAAAGAGAGAGAGAGAATATCATCTAATCAGTCGATCCTTGCAGCAAAGAGTAGGAATATTTACTGAGCCCTGTTTCAAGCTTCTTTTTTAATTCTCACACCAGCCCCAAGCGGCTTGTCCTCCTCCTCCCAGTTCCCAGATGAACACACAAGCCAACAAGGTGAAGTGATTTTCTAAGGTCCACACCACCAGAGAGGGATTCAAGTTTAGGGCTATGTAATTGCGAGTTCATTTTCCAAGCTTTTGCTCTGTGTTGTAGTTCCATTTCAGCACTGACCATACAGAGAACAAACCTACCCAACCCTAGGATTTTATTTTCTAAATTAAACATACACGTCTCTCAAGAACACTTAAAAAGCACTTCATAAATACCATTTCTTAGACTTTCCCTTACCTCACACAGAGTAACTGCCCACGGAAGACCAGCATCCCACCCCCAGGCTGATGGGCAGCTTTGGGCCACCTCAGGAATGAGCGGCCCAGGGTGTTCAGTAGACCCCGGCGGGAAGCATTTCTGCAAAGGTGGAAGATAGTGTTTCTGCAAATTTCATTCAGTTGTGCAATCTCTCTGAGAAGAAAAGAGCTTTCAAGCAAAAGTGCAGTATCCCCAAAGACTTCAAACTCACTCTTACCTCGTGGATTCCGACTCATGGCTTCCCTGTGAGACAATGTCAAACTGCCCCTTGGAGTTTTCCAGATTGTGACTCTTTACAAGTGTTAAGTGACTGAGTAGATGGTGGTTTCGAACTGCTGACCTTGTGGTTAGCAGCCCAATACATAGCATTCATAACATAAGAAATGAAATTCAAAAAATGAAAGAAATGAAATTCCTTTTGCATTTATTCCTGTCTGAGGAAATTTTTTAAAGGTTGTGGGGGGAAGTCCCATTATCTTTTAACTGCAAGTTTCCACAAACTTTTGGAAGTTCCCTCCTACCTGTGGCCTTTCAGCCTAATCTCACAGGCTGTCTTGTAATCACTGATGGAGAAACAAGCACAAACAAACAAAAGCCCAGCTGCTACTGATGATTGACTGGTTTCCGTTCCAGGTGTGTGAATATCCTGACGGCACCAAGTCTTTGAAATTGGGAGACTTTGGGCTGGCGACGGTGGTGGAAGGACCCTTGTACACAGTCTGTGGCACACCCACCTACGTGGCTCCAGAGATCATTGCTGAAACTGGGTGAGACACTCCTGGCGGGCTTGCTGGGTGCTCTAATGTGGGGGGTTAGTTAGAGTGACATGACTTCTGCGGCCTGTGCAGGGCTGCAGTATTCTTGGGGGTGGGGGTGGGGGTGGGGGTACCTCAGCAACTGGAGTGCATGCTCAGATGGCCAAGAGCCCTAGACCGGCCTGGGAAGTACGGCGGCCATCCTCAAGATTGTGGCTCTGTGGGGAACAGTGGGTGCCGTTGCCTTCGACGTGAAGTGAGCAGTGTGACACTGGAAAGGCCCTTTCTGCTGACAGAGGCATGCTGTGGATGTGGAAGGGCTCCTGGGAGCGTGCGGTGAGTAAGACTGCGCCCTCTCCCCTCCCACCCACTCTGTTTCCCCAGCTATGGCTTGAAGGTGGACATTTGGGCAGCAGGCGTGATCACCTACATACTGCTCTGTGGATTCCCACCCTTCCGCAGGTCAGTCAGCAGTGCCTGTGCATGGCAGCATTTGGGTTGTAAATCACCTGTCTCTGATTAGGAAACAGATATTTCTGGTGATCAGGACTGGTTGGTCGCTGAGAATTCGCTTAAGAACTATGCAGTGAACTGGGTGAGAGCCCAAACTCAATGGGACTCTGTTGTTTTTCCAGGTCCTGCAAGTTCTCTGCCTCTGACAGAGCAGTCTTACTGCTTGCCCATCACTCTCCATTGGTGTAAGGAGTTTCCTGCCTTACACAGATTCTGACTCTCCTAGGTTTTAATATATAAACATATTTGCCCTTTATGGGGGAAATGAAGTTGTGGTAAAATATACATAATACATTTGCCATCTTCATTCCATGATGCTCACCTTCCCGACACGATCGCTGAAGACAAAGCGGGTGCATAAGTAAATGTGGTGAAGAAAGTTGATGGTGCCCGGCTATCAAAAGATATAGTGTCTGGGGTCTTAAAGGCTTGAAGATAAACAAGCAACCATCTAGCTGAAAAACAACAAAGCCCACATGGAAGAAGCACACTAGCCTGTGTGATCACAAGGTGTCGATGGGATCAGGTATCAGGCATCAAAGAACAAAATATCATATTGTGAATGAGGGGAGTGCGGAGTGGCAACTGGACATCCCCTTACAGAAAGGTCTCGGGGAGGAGATGAGCCAGTCAGGGTGCAGTGTAGCAATGATGAAGCATACAACTTTCCTCTAGTTCTTACATGCTTCCTTATCCCCACTATAAGGATCCCAATTCTACCTTACAAATCTGGCTAGACCAAAGGATGTACACTGGTACAGATAGGAACTGGAAACACAGGGAATCCAGAGTGGATGATCCCTTCAGGACCAGTGGTGAGATTGGCGATACCAGGAGGGTAGAGGGAAGGTAGGGTAGAAAGGGGGAACCGATTACAAGGATCTACATATAACCCCCTCCCTGGGGGACAGACAACAGAAAAGTGGGTGAAGGGAGATGTCAGACAGTGTAAGACATGAAAAAATAATAACAATTTATAAATTATCAAGGGTTCATAAGGGAAGAAAGATGGGGAGGGAGGGGAAAAATGAGCTGATACCAAGGGCTCAAGTAGAAAGCAAATGCTTTGAGAATGATGATGACAACAAATGTGCTTGACACAATGGATGGATTTATGGATTGTGATGAGAGTTGTACAAGCCCGCAATAAAATAATTAAAAAACAAAACAAAAAACCATTTGCCATCTTAACCAGTTTTAAGTGTACAATTAAATGGCATTAATCACATCCCCATCACCACAATCCATTTCCAAATGTTGTTCTTCCGCTTAAGCAGAAACTCAGGACCCCTTTAAGTACTGACTACCCTTTCCCCCCTTCTCTTCAGCCCCTGGGAACCACTAATAAATACTTGTATGCGTGCGTTTGCCTGTTCTAAAGATTTCGTGCTCTATGAGGCTGTAGTCCCGTTGTCCGTTGGTGTCTGCCTTATTTTACAGACTATTAATGTGCATTGATTGGGCACGCTTTGGATGTGAGGCCAAGATCCTGTGAGTTGCTAGTCTTTCATAAGACACACCCACAGTGCAGCGTCTGTACTTTCTGACCTCAAGTCTCTTTAACGTGGAGGGAGGACTTAAAGATGATTGTGAAGCGATTGGAATCCTTCCAGATAGGTCCTTTCCCCAGCTCTCAGTCATTGTTTCTTCTACTTAAAAAAATAAGAAAAACCATTTACTTCTTGGATAAACTTTCCACGGCCTTCACCCAAGTTCTCATAGGAACAGAGACTTTTGCTTTTTCAGTGCAGCAGTTCACATACTGCATACTGTTTAATCAACAAGTGGATTTATAAATACATCTAGAGTAAACAGCCTGGGGAACAAACACTGCACACTGCACTTTACTTGGTGCGAGTTTTGATGGAAGAAACTCAGTTTGCCCCCGCCCTTTGGGTGCACAGGGTGAGAGAGGGGCTTCAGCCACAGCTCCTCCCTTGATCCATTTTATCAACTGCTGATTAGAGTTGCTATGAGTCAGCATTGACACAGTGGACCTGAATTTTAGGACAAATGACATCAAATCAGAAGCACATCACATAGTGCATAATTGGTCTTCTTGATCTCTCTCTGCCTTTAAATCCCTTCCTTTGTTCATTTTACAGCTCTTTATTGAGTGACTTTGTGCCCCAGGCACTATGGTAGGTATTGGGAAATGACCAGAACCCAAACCCACTGCCATCGAGTCAAGGCCAACTCAGAGTCAAGGACTCTGTACAGCTCTTCCAAGGCTTTGTAAATCAGTGGGAGCAGGAAGCCTCATATCTCTCTCTCTCTCTCTCTCTCTCTCTGTCTCTGTCTGTGCAATTGGTGGGTTTGAACCATCAGCCTTGTGGCAACAGTCCAAGGCTAACCCTCTGGCACCACCAGGGCTCCTTGCTGGGAAACAAAGGGGAGATCAGAGCCTAATCCCCAAGCTCTTGGTGTTTCTGATCTAGCATGGGTCAGGAAGTGTCATTAAGCAGTCAGCCTGGGGGCAATTAGAGTGCAGTTTCTTTCCCGAGCTAATCCATGTTAAGATCAGTTGGGGGAAATGGTATTAGCAAAGGCTTTTAGAGAAATGTATCCACCCATCAAGCAGCCCTGGCGGCACAGTGATGAAGCCCTTGGCTGAGACTTTGTGAGGTTGGTGGTTTGAATTACTTTGGCACTTTGGGAGAAAGGTACTGAATGATGACGACCTTGGGGACCTTCCAGGGCAGTTTTACCCTGCTAGTAGTGACGATGCTGAGTGAGTGTGAGTTGGAAATGATGCAGACATCAGTGGGTTTGGGTAGTTTTGTGGTGGTTGTTATTGTTGCTTTGCATGCTCACAACTCCCTCTAGTGTTGCTCGCTGCCAGTGCAGCCTGGCATTTTTTTTCTCCCCCTTTGGCTTTGTATGGGACTTAAGGGCACGGGTGCGTGCGTGTGCGAGTGTCAGAGAGAGCAGCTAGTTGAGCAGTTCTCGTTTGTCGTGACTGTTTTCCAGTGGCCAGCAGCTCCTCCATGCACCTGGCTAATCAGGCACAGTCCAGCTCCGGGCTCAAAGCTGCTGTCCTCGCTGCCTGTTTGCAGAAGTTGGTCAGGTAGCTTGAGCGAATTCACGTTTCAAACTCAAGACAACGCTTTTCCTTTTTCATACTGTGTTGTAAAGAAATAGGATGTCGAATGTTAACGGCTAACTAAAGAAGCCATATTCACAGTATACAGGGCATTGGGGAGATGTTTTGTGGCGACCTGGAGAGCAAATGACAAGTATGGTGAGGTCAACTATTAGTTTATAGAATACAGTTATACCTAAAAGTCCTTCAGACATTACAAAATATCTTCTTTGTTTTACATAAAACCCAAAACCCACCTCTTTGCCATCCGGCCGATTCCCCCCACAGCAGCCCTAGGGAAGAGGGCAGAACTGTCTGAAGGCGTTTGAGACTCTTTACAGGAGGAGGAAGCCTCCCCTTTTCCCCAAGAAACAGCTGGTAGTTTTGAATGACTGACCAAATCATATTAAGAGGAATGTCTTGAAACTTAGATTTTTCAGGTTTTAGGCTTATTTGAAGAGCATTTTCCTTCCTCCAGTCTTTTTCAGTCCTAGATTCATTGTTGCATTTAAAAAGATACGGATTTTCTATTTTTTCAGAGGCAACCAAATTTTTCGTTTTTGCCTAAGCAAGTCTATTCTCAGGGTTGGTGGCCAACATTATTATTCATACAACTGAATTCAGATTTTAATGTTGTTCTTAGAACAATAAACACCCACCACAGTGAGCCCCATAAATGAAATGTGTGAACGTGACCTGGGCAATAGCTCACAGTGTGCTCCCGCTTCCTAGCTCTGGCCGTGTGCAGTTGGCCACTGGGAAGAGAGAGGATGCAAACTCTTTTGTGGTTGGTGCCGTTTTCCTTCGTGGATATTTTCAGACTGAGCACCACCTGGACGCAAGAGCTGTATTGTCTTAGAATGGGAATGCTTCCTGAAACCTTGCAACCAGGTTGCAGAGTGTTTATAAAACCTCTGGTTTCCGCAGTGAGCTGGAGGGTCCTGGAGCAGGGAACTCGGGCCAAGCTTTCTGTTTTGAAAATTGCCATAGTTTATCCTGCAACATTTATGATTAGAATCAACAATGTCAAATGGCCAGCTCACCTGACGTGGTTGTCTTCTCGTCGCCTACACGCTTAAAGTCTGGCTCAGTATATGCACCTCTTAAAAGTATTAATCTTTCAAGACCTGATAATGAAACTGTGGAATAAATTGGATCATTCTTACAGAATTGTTAAGTCAACACTTTTGCTCTATCAAAGTCCAACCACAGGTCCTTTTCCCACTAAAACAGTTGGAAATGATCAGAAGGCTAAGAATTAGGACAGCCAGTACTGCACTGCTGGGACCTGGGCTTTGGCTCTTGCATACAGGCGCATTGATGATGACAAAGGAAGGACCCATGAACTGGAGCATTCAGCTATAAAGTGTACGAGAGGGATTGTCTACTGCTATATGCGTCAGGCTGATAAGTACAGCAATTGAAACAGGATCCGCACCCAACCACATGTCTGCACTCCATTTTCAATGGGTACCCAGGAGATGAATTATTTTCCTAGGAGGAGTATGGTCATCTTCAGATAAATGCAGTGTCACTTTACCTTCTTGACCTTGTGGAAATGATTTCTTCAGGACTCCAGATTATCTACAACACTGATGAGGTCTCTTTCATTCAAAACCTGTGGAAAGAGTTTACCATGTGCCAGATGTCGGTGTTTGGGAAAGAGGAAGTAAATATAACAATGGTGGGACTGAGCTACATTCAAGCTCTGTTGGCCTAGCAAAAGCAGCTCTAGATGCAATTAATGGATTCAACCATTTTGGCAATCAGGGCTGTTCTTGGTCAGTTATATTTGTGGATCTTGATGCTCCCAATCGCAACAGACAAACATTGTGTTCACCCAGAGAATCCAGATCTCATAACACAGATGCTGCCCTGCGCCCTTGCGTCAGTTATCCTGCATTTGCTCTGGACGATGACGTTCTCTTTAGCCAGACTCTTGATGAAGTGGTTAGAAAATTAAAAGGAAAATATGGATTTAAGCATTTCTTGAGAGATGGATACAGAACATTGGAAGATCCCAACAGACGCTACTACAAACCAGCTGAAATTAAACTCTTTGATGGCATTGAATGTGAATTTCCCATTTTTTCCCTGTGCATGATGATAGATGGACTTTTTAGAGGGAATCCTACAAGTAAAGGAGTGTCAGGATCTTTTAACTCCAGTTCTGCATCAGACTACAGAAGGATATCCTACCTGTACCAAAGTGTTATTATGTGCCAGCTGACTTTGTAGATATTGAAAAGAACCACCCTGGTAGTCAAAAGAGATTTCCTAGTAACTGTGGGTGTGATAGAAAGCTGTTTCTTTGTGGACAAGCCCTTTACATCATTGCAAAACTTCTGGTTGATGAATTAATCAGTCCTAAAGACATTGATCCAGTCCAGCCCTATGTCCCACTACAGAATCAACATAATGTGAGCACGAGATGTTCTAATCTGGGGCCCCCGGAAAATGATTTGGTAGTTCATGTAGCACTTGTAGCAGAAAGCCAACAGCTTCAAGTTTTTCTCAACACCTATGGTATTCAAACTCAAACTCCTCAACAGGTCGAACCCACTCAGATTTAGCCTCAGCAGGAGCTTGTGAAAGCTTATTTCCACCAGGGTGTCAATGAGAAGTTAGGACTTGCTGGGAGGCCAGATAGGCCCACTGGCTGCCTGGGTACATCAAAGACTTACCGCATTGGAAAGACTGTAGTTTATTACCCCATCATCTTTGACCTCAGTGATCTCTACATGTCTCCAGATGTTGTACTACTGATAAATGACATAAAGAATGCACTACAGTTCATTAAGCAATACTGGCAAATGCATGGATGTCCACTTTTCCTTGTTCTTATACGTGAAGACAATATAAGAGGTAGCCGTTTCAACCCCACATTAGATATGCTGGCCTCCTTTAAAAAGGGAATGGTTGGAGGAGTCAGAGTTCATGTTTGTCGTCTACAGACACTAATATCTGGAGCTGTAGTAGAACAACTTGACTTTCTATGAATCAATGACAGAAGAAGTTCCAGAATTTAAGAGTTTTGAAGAACTTGAACTTCCCAAGCATTCAGAAGTCAAAAGACAAAGCAGCACCCCAGTGATCCTGAACTGCAGCAGCAGCCTGATGTCACCATTACTGAATGGAGAAACAAACCCTCTCACGAAATTCTTCAAAAACTGATTGACTGCAGTTGTCTAGCTAGCCAATCCATCCTGCTGGGTGTACTGCTCAAAAGAGAAGGCCCTCACTGTATCTCAAAGGAAGGTACTGTTTCTGATCACACTGAGAGAGTCTATCGAAGAGCTGGCAGCCACAAGCTTTGGCCGGTTGTTCGCCATGCGGCAAGTCTTTTAAGTAAAGTAGTGGACAGCCTTGCCCCATCCATTATTAATGTTTTAGTGCAGGGCAAACAGGTAACGCTGGGTGCATTTGGGCATGAGGAAGAGGTTATCTCTAATCCTTTGTCTCCAAGAGTGATCAAGAACATTATCTACTATAAGTGTAACACCCATGATGAGAGGGAAGCAGTCATCCAGCAAGAACTGGTTATCCATATTGGCTGGATCATCTCCAATAACCCTGAGTATTCAGTGGCATGCTGAAAATACAAATTGGATGGATCATCCATGCTATGGATTATGAGCTACAGATCCGTGGTGGAGACAAACCAGCCATAGACTTATATCAGTTTGTTACCTAGTAAAGTTAACTTCTATTGGATATTCTCCAACCTCAACAGAATACAAGGTGTTGGCTGAACAGGCGTCAGATCTATGGGTCTTTGAATAGAACTCCCACTGGGTTCTATGACTGAGTGTGGCAAATCCTGGAGCGCACACCCAATGGTATGGTTGTAGCTGGGAAGCATTTGCCAAAGCAACCCACCCTGTCAGATATGACCATGTATGAAATGAATTTCTCTGTACTTGAAGACATTGGGAAAAATTGAGCAGCCAAAATATAGACAAATTATTGTGGAGTTACTAATGGTTGTATCCATTGTAGAAACCTGAACTAGAATTTCAAGACAAAGTAGATCTAGACAAACTGGTGGAAGAAGCATTTCATGAATTTCAAAAAGATGAGAGTCGGCTGAAAGAAATTGAAAGACAAGATGACATGACTTCCTTTTACAGCACTCCTCCTCTGGGAGGAGGAGGATCATGCAGCTATTTGACAAAGGTTGTGATGAACCTGCTGCTGGAAGGAGAAGTCAAGCCCAGCAATGATGACCCATGTCTGGTTAGCTAGTGAGGAAGATAGGACATACATTATCTAAAGTGTTTGGAGCTTAATCAGGACAGCCATTAATGTAAGCACTCACCGCGCTGGTGAAGTAGCTGAGCAGAATGATTTAGATCTGTGCATGCCATAGCAAATCTAATGGTAAGAAAGGTTTTAATCAAGTGAAAAGTCTCATGATTATGCCAACAACAATAAAAGTCTTTACTGAACAATAGAAATAGCTTATGAATTAAAATTCCACCTCTGCATGTTTCATGAGCAGATAGCTCATGATGTTTTACTCTTTGGATTAAATTCCCACTTTAATACCCTTAAAAAATGAATTTTCCAACTTGTAATGCACACAGAAAAAGTACTGAGAGAATTGTAAACAAGTCATTCGGCTGATGATATTTTGATTCTCGGTAACTGAATTATTGTATTTTAGTATAAAGAGCTTTTGTTCAAATTTTTTTTTGGTTAACATGCCTGTGGTTTTGTACTTGTGCTTACTGTCGAGATTGGATTAAAATACCATGTAATCTATACTGTATCAAACATGTCTTAGCGCCTACTAAAAATAGAACATGTGTGGGATTATTCAGAAGTACACTAAATTATAGGACTGTAACTTAGTTTGTACTAGAAAATAGTGAATTAAAAGTCATGAAATTAAAAAAAACAAATCTGGTTTCATCAGAGTATCGTTTCTCCTTTGGAAACACGTGACCACAAAGGCGGTGAGATTGTCGTCAGCATTGTGTTCTTGTGGGGGACTCGGGAGCCTGGCCTAATTGCTGAGTCAGCCTCGGCTTTGCTTTTCGAGTTGGGCTATTTTAGCAAGGACCGAAGGCTGTATCTTTTTGTTGCGGGCGGTTTCTAACTTTTAAGCTATTTATTCATAAAGTAAAGCTTTAAAGCTCTTTTTTGAAGGTCTTTTCAAAACCGTCGTCTCCTGGCGCCCTCTGGCCTTCTGAGGTTGTGTCCTGAGGTAGGCTGTGCACTCACGTCGAAGGAGCAGTGAGCCAAGTGCCATCAGCAGGGCAGTCGCAGTGGGCAGGAGATAATGCATTTAGACATCCAGTGGGAGAGAGTTGGCAGGCACTTCAAGACATTCCCTGGCTATCTGGTGTGACCTGTGTGCCTCAGGGTGCCTCTGGACCCAGACACCATGGAGCTGTATGATTCACTGGGATGTGACTGGGTGTCATGGTATTCAGTGAGTGCCCACGTGCCCCTCACTATAACAAGAATGAGGCAGCCACACCCACACATGGCCCCGGAGTTCATCTCCAGGCACTGCCCTAAACAATCTGTTTCTGGACATGCCAGCCTTTGCCCCCTTGAGGTCGATAGTGGAACCACCTCCTGACCTGATGTATGGGGCTCCCAGGCGAGCCCTGGGACCCACAGAGGCTGTTGAAGGGAGATTCTGTGAGAAGTCCCAAGAGAAATGGTGCACGTTTCCCAGCGATTCCGCTCATGATGTGCCCGTGACCTCCCCTGCAGGCCTTGTGATGGCCCACTCGAGGGGCTGCCTGCTCTGCACTTCGGCTGCCCAGGCAGCTGCCAACTGTGGCCTGTGCCCGTGGAGATGCAGTGTCCCAGGTGGGCGGGTGCATTCCGTGTCGGCAGTCCCATGGCACTCAGAGTAACCCGATAGCACAGAGTAGAAGTACCTCATCAGAGTTGGGGGGCAGTAACTCTTTATAGAAGCAGACTACCACATCTTTCTCCCGTGGGTTAAACCCCCAACCTTTTAATTAACATCTCATGCTTGACCCCGTGCCACCAGGACTCAAATAGGCACTTATTCATGAGCCATGAGCTTGGGCGGGCGGCGCTGCTGGCTGGGTTGGGAGGCCGCTCACCTGTGAGCAGGGAGGATGTGCCTCCACCTGTGCGAGTCCCCTCCTCTGAGCTCAGATGAAAGTCAAGCCCAAGGAGCTAATTATTTCATGAATATTTTGTTCAAACTCTGAGCTCCATGGGACGTTTTCATGGTTTTGTGGTTCCCGGTTCTTTTGTAGACTTTGGCAGTGTTATTGGAGAACCGATGGAGAAAGGAATTGCGAGGCGCTGGGAGCCGGAGCCTCGGTTTTCCTGCGCCATGGGGGCCGTGGCGGAATAAGTGAAGGGGCTTGCTGAAATGCTCTTCCGAAGGGAGAACTGGCCTTGTTGGTGGCTTCCGTTTCTCCTTGAGTCTGTCCCTTGGACTCCCAGGCCTCTGCTCCTGTGCCTGGCTCCATTTCTGAACGGGACCACGCGCCCTCACACAGTGGGTTGCGTTGCCCCCTCCCCCGGGCCCCGTTGTTGTCGGAGAGCTGCGTGGTGACCCAGCGTGGTGACCCTGACCCTCTTCGTGTTTCTGTCCGTGCCGTAGTGAGAACAATCTCCAGGAAGATCTCTTTGACCAGATCTTGGCGGGCAAGCTGGAGTTCCCGGCTCCCTACTGGGATACCATCACGGACTCGGCAAAGGTACTCACACAGCCTGCTTCTCGGCCTTGGGTTGTGTGCACGGGCCTTGGGTTGTGTGCACGGGGTCCGTCAGGCTCCTGTCTGCAGCAGTTAGGTGGGGCAGCTCTGGGACTGAGCTCCAGGGACCGCCTTCACTTTCTGTGCACGCGGCTGCTTGCCCTCTCTCCTGTGGTGGAGTGTCCAGAGCTCCCAGCCAATGCACCTTTCAGCCCTACCTGCTCATCCTCCTGCTGATGCAAGACACCGGAGCATACTACGTCTCCTCCTCAAAGGGTAGGAATGAACTAGGGAGACTGGCCGAGTCACCGACCGAGAGGGAGTGCAGTTTCTCGTGGTGGAATAATGGTAACTAAGGACTAGCTGTCTTCAGAGAGAACATATTGGTCCTTGGGAGGCGGCGAATGTAGACTCAAGAGAGACCCCCTCCTCTCCCTCCAGCTGCAGACATTAGTAGCTGTGTCCGCATCCACGTCTAGTGGGCTCCAGGGGTGGATGTGATGTAATAGCTTTGGAAGCTGAAGCGGTTGAGCAGCCATGCTGGCAAGCCTTTGGAGAGCTTGGTGCAAATTCAGATTTCTGCTTTGATGCTGGGCTTCCCTCTTTCTTTCCAGGAACTGATCAGTCAAATGCTTCAGGTGAATGTTGAAGCTCGCTGCACTGCAGGACAAATCCTACGTCACCCCTGGGTGTCAGTAAGTACCCACCTTGCTCAGCAGTGAATGTCTCTGTGTTCTGTGGCCACCAGCATCCTTCCTTCCTCACGCCCACCATGGTCTGCCCGCCCACAGCAGACACGTGGGCGTCTTTCTAGAGGGCCAGTAGCATGGGGGCAGGACCCCAGTTTCAACCCTGCCCTGGTTTGGAACTTGGGCAAGTCACTGTTCATTTCTGCTTCTGTTTCCTCTTCTGCAAAATGAAGGGCTGGCTGGGATGCTCCTTGAGGTGCCTTTCCGCTCTGGAACCCTGGGGTTCTGGGGTTGGAGAGGTTTTGTGATTTCCCCCTAAGATGAGCACGTTTCAAACCCTGAGCTCTGTTTCCTGGCACCTGACCATAGTCTTCCTGCAGCTTGATGGAGAAGTCCAGATAGCATGCCTCCCAAAGCCAAGTGGACAGCTGGTTAGCGTTCCTCTGGGGCGTAGGAAGCACCTGTGGATTTAGGGTAAATGCGATTTGCTAAACAGTGACTGGGTGCGAGCCTCTGTGTGGTTCAGATAGTCCATGGACTCAGCTGCTCACTGAAAATCCACCCAGGTGGTCTCCACAGAAGAAAGTCCTGGTGATGAACTTCCAAAAGCCAGCCCTTGGAAAGCCTGTGGAGCACAGCTCACCTGTGACACTCAGGGGGTGCCTGCCGGGAGCCAGAGTCGGCTCCTAGCAGCTGGGTTGGGTTTTGGTTGAGTGAGAGTTTGCACTGTCCATGTTCCGGAGGGCTCTAGGTGAAGGAAGTTAACTTGTGAGTCCAGCACTTGGGGAGTGTGAGCCCCTTCAATGCCTCATACCACCCTGACCTCGGAGTCACCTGAGCTCAGTGTCCTGGCTCTTGGACACCAAGGAGCTCTGAGACTAACACCCAACTGAATTCCTGTTTAACTGAATAACCAACTATTCATTCATTTTGGTGTTTTCATGGGAAGATGCAATGTGACGTCAGGGCCTTGGGGGGGGAGAGGCTCAGAAGGCAAAGAATCCTGCCTCCATGCCCCAGGATCCTGATGCTCGACTTGAGCTACTTCAGACCTGAGGGGCAGTGTGGATGGCACAGGGTCTTTCTGAGTGTGTGTGGCTGCTTGAATAACAAGAAGTATCATGTAAAGACTCACTGTTCCTCTAAACGTGTGGCTAAGTTGTGGCTTTAGCAAGCAACAGAGGTGCAGTTGTGGTTAAGGAAAAACAAATCTTGAGGATTAAAACTCAATGTATTTCTTTGGGTTTTTCCCCCTTACAGGATGATGCCTCCCAGGAAAATAATATGCAAGCGGAGGTGACAGGTAAACTAAAACAGCACTTTAATCATGCGCTCCCCAAACAGAACAGCACCACTACCGGGGTGTCAGTCATCATGGTAAGTGAACTCCATCCTGTGGCCGTGGCAAGCTGGTTAGTGTCTGGCTTGCTTCCTAGGCTGCCATTGAGCCTCATGAAGCCGGTAGCCACGAGCTGCCTCACCCAGAAGCAGGCGCCATCACATCCTGTGCTCACATCCTTTCGTACAGATTGGCTGCCACATGACGGGATGGAATTAGGCAGGTCCCCCACTGAGAAGCTCAGGGTCCCTGCTTTCTGCTCCCATCTCTATTCTGTCCAGAGAGGGCTTCCCAAGAGGAAAGGACTCCCTGCTAACACAGAACTTCAAACTTCAAACGCATTTTCAAACTTCAAAATGGGTTTTTCTTTTTTAAAGCCGTAGATTAGTCTTTAGGATTTGGGACAAGAATTAGTCCAAGTGAAGCAAATATATATATATATATATGAATATATATGTGTGTTTTGTGAAAGACAGTTTGGCTTTTTAAAGCTCTGAACTGTGTGTGTGTTTAGTATTATTTGTCAGGAATGGTAAGACTTGATAAGAAATCGCTAGCAGTGATCCCCATATTTTTTTCAAGCTTCCTTTTTGCCAGAATGTTGTAAAAGCAGTTTCTCTAAGGAACACAGCACATAAAAGCAAATGAAAAGGAACACCACCATTAAAGGAAACGAAGCAAAGAGGAAAGGAAAGAAAGAGTAAACCGGGTCCTAAGGAGCCTGTAAGCACACCCTGTAGGTCAGGCCCGAGCACACCAGAAACTGGGTCAAAAAGCCAGTCAAAAGGCCTCATCCCTCTCAGCACTGCCCACCACCCAGGGTCCCAGAGGGCCGGGTGCTACCTCAGAAGAGCCAGAGCCGGCTCTGTATGAGGCAGTGGGTGCCCAAGTCTAAGCATCTTGACCACCCCTGACAGCACTGGGTCCTCGGCAGCCAACAAGGCCCCGTGGGACACCTAACAGTGATGGGCCAGCGTTGCAACCATGTCACTCTTCTCTCAGCACAGCCCCCATGCCCTGGAAATGATTCTGTTCCCTGCCCAACTGCGGGGTGGGGGGGGGGGGGGAGTTGTTTGGTCTCATGGTATATTGGGGTGTAGGTCTGGAGAAGCTGGAGGGAACCCCCTACATAGACACAGTTGTACCACATACACATCACACATAGACCATGCACCCCACATACACTGATGCCACACATACACGCCACACAGCCCACACATGTATACGCCTACCCTTCCTACCATGTACACACCTAATCCCTCTTTCACATCCTCACACTATATACACCATATACACATCTTCCTTCATATACCCCCACATTCCTTACCCCTTACATGCCTTACATACATCACACACACACACACACACTCAACCCCTATGCACCACACCACACTGCACCAACACTCCACACACACACACCACTTGCATACACCAGCACCTCATACAGACTACATACTTGGACACATCTCCATACTATTTACACATACCTTCCCCTACTTACCCCCACATGTCCTGTACTTCCTAGCCCCACACATGCACACACACACAACCCCTTGTACCACATGCTACACATACACACACTGCACATACCCCAAATATTCCGCACACATACCTACACCATGTATAACATATACTAATACAACCTCCCCCTACATACTTTGCAGCCCCCATCCCATACACATACCCCACACTCAACCCTCATATACCAAACATAGATACACACACACATGCACACAGGTGCATACTTTGTGAATATGAAGTGCTCCGGTGTGTTAGTACTGAGTTTACACGTTGTCAGCACCCTCTGCTCTCTGCTCTCTGCTCTCACAGCCTTCTCCCGCCCCACTCATGGACAGCTGCATGCGTTAGTTAAATCCCACAGACTGCCCCGCTATGAGGCGTTTTCCGCCTTCCTTCCTCCAGAGACATCTGACATGGTGCCGGTCTGGGGGATGTTCTGTGCAAAGTCAGAGGAAGGTCTCGTGCATGGTGGTTTTCCTGAGAAAGCCAGGGGTGCCCCAGAATCACAGCCACACCCCTTTGAAAGAGCCATCTTGATAGGGCTAAGCTTATGAGAACAGTTTCAGGTGGTTCACTCCTGAGGCCTGGCATTAAAGGGGTGGATAAGGACCGTGAGAGCCATGTTATGTTTTAGGGCAGGCTCTGCTAAAATTCAGAACATTAAAAACATCTCATGAATTGACAATGTGTCATGGAATCCCTCCAGGGAGAGTGAAGAAGCTGGAAGGGAGGAGCCCCCACACACCAAAAGGTAGTGCCTGTGCATTGCTTAAGCCCCAGCATCTCCGGGGAGGAAAACAAAGCAGAATGTGGCCAGGACAGACAGAGCTCACTGCCGTGGTCTGCGGCACCTGGTCGGGCTCGCCTAAAGCTCTGACAGCCCAGCACTCAGCTGAGGTCCTAATGGAAGGAGATGGCCTTTCTACCACCTGAGGCTCTGCTCTGGATAATGATGCATAGACTTCCCTCAGAGCCAGTGTGTGGCTTTTAAAGGTCATTTTTCCATCGGCTGAGGAGAAGCCCAGCACTCAAAATTGCAGACCTGTGCACTCTAGCTGGTTATTGGTTTAAATGAAAAGAAACCCTTTACCATGTGGAATCCCGATGGCGACTAAAAAGGCGACGGGTTTAAATGCCTGTGAAGTCGTCATTTGGAAGGTGTTGGCAGAGCCTGGTCCCATGCTCCCTACTCTACTCCGCCGGCTGTTCGCTCTGAGGGCGGCTGAGCCACAGGGCCCCATTGGGAACCTGTGGGAGAAACCCATAGGCTTGCTTGTCTCTGGCTCTGTCAATGGCCAAAACACTGCCTGTGAATTTTGGCCAAAAAAGCAGTGGTGAGGAGAAAAGGCTTTCCTTGTGGATCTTGTGCTAACGTTCACCCAGCTCAGGGCATGGGGGAGGGGGGGAGGGCGAGGAGGTGTGTGTGTGTGTGTGTGTGTCGGGGGGCAGCTTGCAATGCTTCTGTGTCCTCGTCATCATTCCCTTCACCTGTGAATACCTGTTGTGCTGCCTGGCCTGGAAGTCAGATGTCCTTGGTATTAAATGTTTGGGGGGGTTTAAGCATTAAACATAATTAACCACAAAAGTATTCCCCCTGGTACTCAGATGATCCCAGACGTGAGGTCCTGTGGTTTCCTGCAGAAAACAATGGGAATAGGGTATACATGCTTTGAGGTTGAATCATCAGATTCCACTGCTGTCTCACTTAGAGAGCCTTACCCCCAGCGGTTTCTTCCAGGCATCTCCTCCCTGCCCTTTAGCGCCTGGGGTTCTGGTGCGGCTGGAGGTGTGGTGCGGCAGGCTGGACGATGGGAGCGTTGATGCTGTTATCTACGTTTCATTTGACAGTTTGAGAGACTTCAGAGTTTCACTCTTTCCCCTGTTGAGACTGTGGGAACCCTCGAAGCCAGAGCCTGGTATTCAACCTGCTGTGCTCAGCCCCGGCAGCTTCTCAGCCCCAGCCCTTCTTAAATCCGCTCGCCGGCCCTGAGCCACGCGGCCTGGGTCTCCCCAGCGCCTACTGACACATCTGCAGCCAGCCAAGCGCACCCCTGGAAAACTTTGATTTAACTGAACACTCGCAGCTTCCCGCACGCACTGCCTCCCTTCCGGATCATAAGCTGGCGAGTGTGAGGGGGTGGCCAGTGGCGGCCCCCTCCCCCTTCCTTCCTTCCTTCCTTCATGCCGGTTCCCTGCTGAGGTGGGCCAGAGCCTTAGGACAGGTGCCTTGGTGGGGGGGCTTGTGCTCGCCCCCCCCCCCCCCCCCCCCCCCCCCCCCAGCGCATATGGCTCCAAAGATGCGTTTTTTATCGACAGTGTCAAGTCAGCCAACCTGTGGGCCGAGAGGGTGGCGCAGAGCGGGCTGGCTTTGAGAGGCCCCCGGTTGGGAGGCTTTTTCTCTGGCTTTCCCTGTGCGCATCAGGAGAGACCTTGGGTTTGCAGCGCAGCTCGCCCTGCTCCCCCGGGGCGCGTCCCCGCCCCAGGGACGAGAAGCGGCCACCTTGTGGCAGCCACGGGAATGATAAGCAGCCTGGCTCACGCTGCATCTTCCAGGGCTGACTTCGGATAAGGCACCTTCAAGTAGAGCTTTCCCCACTCAGAAAGGGCGGGGGCGGGGAGGGGTGGATGTGAAATTTGGGAAGGGGTTCGGGGTGCGTGCCTGAATGTAAGGTAGACAAAATGTTTCTTTCGACTGTGTTGCTTCTGTTTAAAGTAAGTCTAGTTTCTGTCCCCGCTTCTCTCCCCCGTCTCTGGCCTGCCCCGCCGCCTGCATTGCTTCCCTCTGGCTAGGTCCACGGCGACGGTACGTACTAACCCGCACTGCCACGCTTGCTCCTGCCGCCGCCGCACGCACGCACGCTCTAACCCCAGGACGGGACGGAGGAATAACCCGGCCGCGGTGCCCTTGGACGCGGGAGGGACTGGGTAGTAGGCACGCCGTCTTCAGACTTCCGGATGCAGCCCTGTCTTGCATTTGGCGCCTCCCCGGTTGCCCCTTTCAGGACCTTGAAATTGCCCTTGGCAGTGACTGGAGGCTCGACCTTAGAAGGGCCCTGGAGAGCACCCAGCCTTGTAGCACGCGTCTTGGAAAGCCTGTGGCTCGTCGTGGTTTCCCCACGCTTCTCATCTCTCCTGCGAGGGACCCCCAGTGCACCCCAGGCGGCCCCGGGCAGGTGCCACCATGCCCCCTGGCCTGTGCCCCTTTGGGCCCTTTGGTCCCCTGCTGTTGGTCTGAAAGCCCAGCCACAGGACAAGCAAGAACTACTGGACTGAGTCCAGGAAGGAGAACAAAGGCTGGGACTCCCTGAGAGCCCCCCTCCGGTGGGGGGCCAGAGCCGGCCCCAAGGCTGACGCCCCGTGGGCAGCCACTTGGCTTGGTAGGGCTGACTTATTCGCATGACATGGGGCCACTTTTAATCCTGTGGCCGAGGGCTCGCCTCCCAGGCCCGGCTCCCTGGAGCTGGCCTCGTGGCCCCATCCGGCCCGGCTC